TGATAAAGCTTTTAGTTAGAGTCGCTCATGTTATCCTGAGCTATCTCTATAGTTATGCTGCTATAGGCTTAGACTGCTGGAGGACATAGGGACCCCTTTTTCATCATTCTGCTTCATTCTATCTCTAGTCTCCCTTTCTGCAGAATTTATTAGTCCAATCTGAGTTGAACGTTCTGCTCTCTCTGCTTTTTCTCATAGTAGCTTCATCTGGTCTGTTCCTGTTTGTCTGTGACTCCATTATGGAGAGAAATATCAGCTGTGGTGCTTCCATCAACACCTTTCTTTAGAGATGCTGGAGCTTTGCCTGGTTCGGGATTGAATAATTTTCAACAGTTTAGGATTTTCAACATGAATTACTAGGTTAAAATGATCCCCTCTTAAACAACTAAACCATGACTTCAGAGCAGTTTTGGGGTTTTATTAAATTTGGTGTGAAATAAAGGTTTCTTTGGAACTTCTGAGAAAAAGAAACTGAGGTCTTACAGAAGGATCTAACAGGAAAAGAAAGTCCAAGGTCCAAACCTCTGTGTTTATCAGTGACAGGTTGGCGTTAAATGACTGAGCTGGGATAATAAAGATAAGAAGATTAAGTAAGAAGCTTTAATTGAATCTAGGAACCTGAAACCTACATGAAGAGCAGACAGATTTTAACAGAAATGAAACCAGAATCCAATTTCATCTCATTATCAATAAACCTTTTCTACCTTTAGCGCTTTAACATCTTGATTCAGTTCATTTTTAAGAAACCAAATTTCCTAAAACCCTCGATATAAGATCTAATTCCTCAGTTCTTATGAAATAAAGTGTGCATCAGTTATAAAGGTAATTTATTTATCTATTGTTTATTGTTTATCAATTATCTGCTTTTGTATTTCCAGCTGCATCTTCCCTTCCTGTCCCCTTTTTGAATTATTTTAATACGAAAAAATTATCAAAGTGAAGCAACTTTAATCCCACGTTTCTGTTTATGTTGCTTGATTTCAAAACAATCTAACGGCATAAAAGTCAGGCAAAAAACTTTCACTGTAAGATTCTCTAGTTGTCAGTTTCAGAGTAAACTAATGGCATTGTAAAGTGAACAAGTCTACAAGGCAATAAGGTTTGAAATGAGAAAATGTTTTAAAAAAAGGCAAAGATCTTTACTTTTCAGTTCAGCAGAGAAGATATATTCTTCTGTTTTAAAAAATGGAGTTTAAAGAACAGAAAACAGGGAGAAGAGTGTGAAGGACCATGACATGCCTTCCATATCATGACTACATTTAAAGAACAGATCCTGTAAGGTGAAACATGGATTGTTTTCCAACAGAAATGTTTGAAGTTGTTTTTTTCTCTACGATTTAATCATCTAAACAGATATCCAGGTTAAACACAAATCATATCAATGCACCCAGTAACTCAAAGAACAAACTTCCTTATTAAGTTAAAGACACCAATCACCTGCTTGAAGGTTGAAGTTCTGATTGGAGGAGTTGACGATGACATCACAGGCCTCCTTGGTAATGTCTCCTGAGGACACCTCAAGGGTGAGTTGACCCATCTGCATCTTGTAGACGCCGAGGGAAGGAGACGAGACAGTGCTGAAGGAGGCTGATGCTGAGACACAGAAAACACACATGGAACAAAAACTTTCTGTTTTGGTTGGAAATAAATGTTGCATCAAACAGCTAAATTTTATTGGTCTGAGCCAACTTCTGGTCTCTAAACAACCTAAATACTTAGATGCAAGTCAAGGAATGGTTTGATAAAATTAAAAAGGTAATTCCAAAGAGCTTTTTGAGGCAGTAAAATAAATTTAAACAATAATTAATATAATCAAATTAGATAAAGAAATATTGAATGTTACTTTAAGCAAATAAAAAGTTCCACTTCTTGGGCTTTATTGGTAAGAAGCAGTATTGATTCAAAGGAACCAACATTTTCTGTTCATCTCAGGTTTTTGGGGGGTTTGTTTTAGATCTTGGGAGCATAGAAATTAAAATGTTTCCCATCTTTTAAATTAGCACAGTATCAGAGAATCTTTCCTGTTTTGTTGACCTATTTAATTTTGAGTTAGATATGGGACCAAATCTGAAATGGGACCGATGTCTCAGAGTGTTTTGAATGTGAGATGCTTTTTCTAAATCTGTTGAAAATATTTAAGACTAATGTTTACTGTCTACTCTCCAGATGAAACCCAGAAGAAACTTATAAAAATAACAAGTCATGGATTCCAGGTTATTAACAGGAAGGAACATAATCCGGTGTTTGAAAATAATCTAGATGCTCATTTTGAGATATCTTACTTATAAAAAGAAATCATAGCCATCAGAGGATTGGCTGGAAAAATGTTTATCTGGTGAATTTATTACAATAGAAACAACAATAACCAATGTTCAGAGTCTATTATTGTTTACACTGATTATGGCAGAGAAAATTAATAGCTTCACTCTTTTTAATTCCACATTATATATGTTTAGCTGTAATATTCTAACGACCAAAAATACACTGTAATTTGCAATTATTAAAAAATAAGGTACTGTATTAGTAGGGCTTAGAGAAAGTAGCAAAAACACAGTTTAAGCAAGAAAATCAAACCTTTTCTTAGAAACTACTAACTGAAAAAAATGATGAAATAAAAAAATAATAATGCAGATTACCTCTACTCTACAGCCCAAAATAAATGCATGAGATAGAAAATCAATCAATCAAAATTCCCTTTTCAGAACTCATGAGTGGAAAAATCATGAGTTTTACCTGGTTCAATTTCATAAAGTCTTCTTTAAAGAATCTTTGGCTATCAGATAATAATTGCTTAATCAAAAAAGTAATGGACAGTTTGCTCAGTTTGCAAAAAAATCTTTAGTTGTTGCCCTAATTCTTTTATAATCTAACAGGGTTCAGGTATACAAAAAAAACTGTAAACATATTCTAATACAATACATTAACAGTTCAAGATCAATGCCCTCTAAAGACACTAAAAGGGTGAAATAATTCAAGGATTTCTTACAGGATGGCTGCTGAAATCGCCCACGCTGCTGCTGAGCTGCAGATCTGTTCCTGTTTGAACTCTCTGCTTCATGCTGGACGTTCCTTTGCGTCGTCTCACCACCAAACTCTCTGGTGAAACACTAGAAAAACACAATGAGCTCAGTCTATGTAATAGTTTGTCCTAAAACTGCTTGAACTACAGAAACATCTTCTTACAGCAACAGTCTCACGGTCACTGGGGTGAACCACGATCACCACCTCCTTCAGGAAACGAGGTGAGCTGCTGCGACTGAACAAGTGGATCTCCTTCAGCAGAAGTTTGGACACCACGTCTTTGGGAAAGCTCAGGTTTCCAGTCCCAAGTGCTGGGAAGGAAAGAGATTTCATCCTCTGCTTCTCTGCCTCCTCCAGACAGTAGCTGATGATGTCTGTTAACTCCTGCAGAAGCAGAGGACAGACAGAAGGTAAGATGGACTAACATGCAGGTGGACTTTTTTCAGTGCCTCCATCTTTTAATAATCTGTCAGAGTTGGTTCTACAGCAGTGTCTACAGATCCACCTCTCACCTTCTCTGCCTGCCTGGCCCCGTTGCTCCAAAATGGGCAAACAGCATGGAAGACCTTCTGACACTGGAGGTTGAATCCGTCAGTGATGACCACGTCCCCGAACTGCAGCGTGGAAACTCCGGCCTCAGTGAGGATGGCCATCTGCAGGTTTTCACCTGCCGCCTCAGAGATGGCTTTGGCAACAGCTCCCTGGTTCAGGTTCATGTTCTCTGCCACAGAGTTTACGATGACGTCGGTCTGTGGATCAAGATCACAGCAGATTCATCGTGTCATGAGATTATTTATGAATTTAGAAATGAAAATAGATCTAAATACGTGAACTATGTTCTCTCCAGTTTTTATAGGACCGTCCAGCAGACGACACAACATGTCTAACACACTCCTCATGTCAGGTCTAAGCTTTAAGGTGAGACAGACTCAGGATAAATACAAGAAATCCTGTTATTGAATAGAGTTGGTTCATGGAGTAACTTGACTCAGGAAAACACTGAGTTTAGACCCACTTTCAGAGAGAGGGACCTGGATGTCTCTGATGCTTCAGAGTAAATAAATCAATAATAATAAATAAACAAATATGAAAAATATCTAAAAAAAAAAATTGGTTTAAAAACAGAGAAAAATGATTTGTTCTTTTCTCTGAGGGAAAAATCTGCAGCCAAACAGAAGGATCGGACTCTATCTGCACTGACATGGATTATGCCTATTTGATGATGATTAACCTATTTGTTGTTAGTTATTACATTAAAAAAACAGTGCTAAAAAGGCCTAGAGAAAAACTCCTGCTGACTGTCTTTATCCTCGTTTCCTCCTTGGAGAGAGTCTGCTCAGATCTTCAGGTCATTTTTAAGATCAGAACATTTGAACAGCTCAACAATTAGTTCATAATGTGGTTTTGGAAGAGAAAAATCTATCCATCTTCACTGGACAGATATGTTCCTAGATCTACAGTACTCACAGTTTGGTCCTGGATGTTTCCTTGGCAGAGAACAATCTTCAGACCAGCAGGTGTGATCTGCTCCAACCCTCTTGGCCTAAAATCATCGCAAAAGTATCTTCAACATAACTACACACAAGGTTTCTGTACTTTTTGTAATTAAACACATGGATTCCTTCAACACATTTCAGAGAGAGTCTAAATCTTACCCTCCACGGTCTCCATATGTGTTCTCTTCTCTGGAGTTATGACCTCCCCAGTTAGCCTGATAATTCCCTTGATCACCTCCTTCTCTACCTCCTCCTCTTCCTCCACGCCTTCCTCCTCCTCCTCTTCCACCTCCTCTTCCTCCATCTCCTTCTCCTCCTCTTCTTTTACCAGACCATTGACCTCTCCCTTTTCCTCTCTGATGTCCGCTGGATGTTAACAACAAAGGTTATTCTTGGTTAAATACTTCAGACACAAATCATATAACTATTTATTGGGCTCCTGTATAAAAATAGGTAACATCAAAAGTCAACATTGTTCAACTAATCTTCACTTTTCAACAGAACCACGTTTGATTTACAGCCCACAACATCAACAACAAAAAAAAGTTTTAGTTCAGGTTTTAAGGTTAGGATCTAATAAAATAATTAACCAATTAGCCAGTTAAATGTCTATAAAATATACAATAAAAATGTAATATTAACTTGAACAACTTGGACAATAGAAACCTGCCCCTGCCATTCATCCAGACATAGAAACTACATTCTTCGCTGTGAGATAGGAACCTTATAACAGTTAAAAACTAAGTACAAAAAACTCATCCAAAATTTAAAGCTCATTGTCGTAAGTTTAACAAAGAAACTAAAAATTTCAAGCACTTAAAATCTAGACCAGATTTTCATCTTTTCACATTAATTGAATTGCAGAATTCTGAAAACAAAAAAAGGACAAAAAAAATGTAAGGCTGAGGTCCACTTCAGGTGGTTAAATTAATTAACCCCTCTCTAGAAATTAATGACGTTCGTGCAGAAAAGCAGAGCTATGTGTCAGGGAAGATGAAAGGGTCATCTTGAATAAAACTCCTCAATTGTTTGTAAGGTGGGCCCACTTAACATGGATGCCCTCGATATCACATTCGCTGAACGATGCAGGAACTTCTGACCCGAAGTATAATCAGGAAAATAGGCTACAGGCTTGTAGATGAATTGGCACTGATCTACTTAGGAGTCAGTGTTCTTGTCAAACTATGTTTTAGTTGTAATGGATCAAATACAAAAACAGTTTTAAAAATACGTATGTTCAGTAAAAAACTTACATAACATTATTTTTCTTCTTCTTAAAAGAATCTCAATCAAGAATCGATAGGAACCGGAATCAAGACAAGGAATTGGAATCGTTCAGATTCAAATGATGTCCAACCCTACAAACAACAAAGGTTTAGCTCTGTCAATGACAGCAGGACTCAGTGTCCAGTAGCAGTCATAACTCTCCTTCTCTGTATAGTATCCAACTATCGAACATCCTTGTTTGTTTGTACTTGTAATAAAAGGAGTTCCTCAGGGCTCTACGTTAGGACCATGCTCTCCACTCACTATGCAAACCATCTCTAATGATCTTTGTAATAACTTATTTATATAATATGAACGGCATCTAAAAACAATACAAGAAGAGTTAAATTTGGCCTTTTCATTAATCTCACCCTGAAGCTCCTGCCATCCTCCCTCCCGCCTGCTGTGGAAGTGTCATGGTGGGTCCAAGATCGATGAACTCCTTGTTGACAGCTGCTGCCATCACCCTAACAGTGGCGTCATTGTTGTCCACCAGGTGAATCTCAGTTATGGATCCTGGACCCAAAGGATGGCTACAGTATTCACGCACAGCCTGGGCGATGGTCTCAGTGCAAAGTTCCACCGGGAAACCAAACACACCAGAGCTGATTGCTGGCAATGCTATGGTGGAGCAGTTATTCTTTTTTGCTTGTTTCAGGCATTCTTTAACTGCAGACTTTAGACGGAATATTGCTGTGTTCTTGTCAAATTCAGAGTACCGAGGACCAACTGCATGTATGACGTACTTGCAGGGCAGATTGCATGCTTCTGTTACAATTGCCTCTCCTGGACGTACTTTGCCATATTTAGCCACATAGTCATCACTGATCGTCTGCAGCTTCGGTCCAGCAGCTTTCAGCAGGGCCAAAGCCAAACCGCCAATGTGCTGCAGATCCTCATTGGCTGCATTGACAACAGCGTCAAAATTAAGGCTGCAGATATCTCCCCTACTGACAGAAACAAGAACCCCATTGGCTGTTCTCACTTTGCAGTAGATTACCAGGCCAGTCTCTTCTACAAAGCTCCATTCCTCCTCCTCTTCATCATCCTGAACATCTGGCTGAAGCATCACCACACAGCTGAACTCTGTCATTACTGGAGTCAGGAAAATGCTTCCTTGGGACTGGAAATACTTCTTGGCTCCAGGTTTGTCAACAGTTAAGGTGTCAGCAAAGAGAGAACCTGACAACTCCATAAGGTGTGATCTAACTGTCTGGACATGAACATGAGCCCCACTGATGGTGATCTTTGGTCTTTCTGGATCAAACATTATGGACACCTTGTAGTCTTTGGCAACTCTAGACCAAATGTCTTCTTTTTTCCTCTCTATGAACTGAGCAACAGCACAGGACTCAACGCGAACTATCTCGCGAACGTGTGAGTAGTCATCAATGAATTTCCGCAAACTGAGGCTGACCTCTTTGACTGGAATGGTGAAACCTACGACTGTTACTTTGTCTCTTCTCTCTGGGTCAATCCATATGATTACAGTTTTCTTATTGGAGACGTTGTAGGTGTCTAAGAGGTTTCTGCACAGGTCCATCCAATCCTTACGCTTTAAAACTTCCTGATCTCTTACATCCAAATTCTGCACAGATAAATCTTTCTTCATCTTACTCTCAGCATCAGCCAGGGCTCTGTCAGAGCTTCCTAGTAAGAAAATACCTGTTTGGTCAATGTCATAGATAGCACTAATGCCAAGCGAAGTAAACATTCTCTTTGACATATCCATGGAATCCACTGTCCGGAGGTATTCCAGAAGGCCTGGAGGAATACTTAGAGGCTTCTGTTTAATTTGAAATTTTTTCTCTAAGATCCAGGACTTGGTTTTGTACACTTCTGCTGTCAGTCCTGTAATGGACAACTTCCATGAGCCTTCATTGTATGATACCTTCAACTCATTGGAAATGTCCAAGGCAGCTTTCTGCAGTCCCTCATGGACTAGAATGTAGTAATAAGCAGGAGAAATGTCCATACTCTCAGTTATACTTTTGGTCTCTCTTTCAATCTGACTCATTAACTTAAGGACGAAGTTCTCAACAGGAGCTCGGATTTTCTTCATATCATCAGCTCTGCAGGCAATGGTCACCACTTCTCTGGATGGATCAAAGTCCACCAAGGCATCTTCCTTTACAATTGAACAGACTTCTCTTTCAGCAGTTTTCCACGCTTCTGCGTTCACGTCACATTCGAAGGCTGAGTACTCAGACATGACTTTGCAGAAGGCGGCCCGAGCCAACCCGGCCCAGTTATCTATGTCGTTACCAGTCAGACCTTTCTGCCTCAGAAAACATGACAGTGGACTGAGTTTCACATCTGGGCGTTCCAAATCTACGCTACAAAAATGTGGACGCATTTGATCATTGATGCTTTGCAGCATTTTCTTCATTTGGAGGAACTTCCAGATCTGGGGTTGAACCTTCTCGATGATGGGGTCTGGCATCTTCCATGCAGGCCGCTCTTTGCCATACAGAGCTGTTCCCAATTCATCATAGTAGGGATACAACTTGACGGAAATGGAACGCATGTCATGGTCTTCTTTGACACAAATGCTCTTCACAACTGAAAGACATAAAGAACACAGACAGACAGTTGAATGGCACATCGAATGACCTGTAAAGCATTTTTCAACAGAATTTTTAACAGAATAAGGAACAATTGAGAAAAACTTAACCTTAGCAACTCAATGACTCTACTATCTCGAGATACACCAATACATTGACTGTTGGATATTTATGGCAGGTGTTAGTATCGCCATGGGGCAATATGTCCATTATTAGTGCATTCAGCATCCATGCCTTGAGATCATATGATTGCTGCTTTCTCTGTTTGCTTTTCATTGTTACAACAGAAACTTCATAACACAAGAAGGACAAGGGAGACATTTAACGTAATTCTTCTAGCAGAGGCAGAGCTGGGAACCACCCTAGCTAATCAGTGGCGACCCCTGTGAGCACCTCAACCAGTTGATAGGTTTTTTACCATGTGGATGTAATTCACTACCTCTGGAATAAGCAGTCCCCCTCTAAAACAGAGTGGTAGCAATGATACCCTCAAACGGAATGTCCAAATATGACATTTTAATTGAAATTCTATTAACCATAATCTGATAAAAAAAATCCAGTTATTCCCATCAATATACCAACACTAAAGATGACAAATATAATAATAATATGTGCTCTGTTCAGACCTAGCTTTGTTCTATTATGGTAGAGAAGGGAAAGCAAGACATCTTTGAATGACAACTCAACCCATTTAAAGTATATCTTATGCAGGGCCATAAATTATTCATTTAGACTGCATTCATGTACAGTATATTTTACTGAATGAACTATGTCTGTCTTTGGTGATTTGAAAATACACGTGTCAAACAAAGTGTTCGATGTTGTATTGTTTCATTGTCCTGTCATTAAATCATGATTACTGTCTGAACATGTTTCAGGGTCAGCCCTGAGAATACATTGGTCCTGGCTCAGCCACCACTAGGAAAATAGCTTTTCTTCTCCACTGCATGCTAAAGCTAGATTGAGAAAGCCTTTTAGAGTAAAACATGGTTGGGTAGACCAAGAAAAAGAGTGGAGTTGATTTTTCACTTGGACTGATTGATGTGAAAAATCCCCTCTAACGGGTCATTGCATGGTTAGCCAGAGGATTGTCCACAGATTCAGCAGTTTGAAACTTATAACTTCGATGAAGAAGCATTCTAAGTAAGAACAAACCTTTGGGGTCTTTAAAAGTAACAATGGCCGCCTGCTCCTCTGGTATCATGACGACATCCTGTGGTAGCTCCCAGTTCTTCTCAAACCAAAGTTCAATCATGTCTGCAACAGAATTAGGAGGAATCCAACAAAAATCATTGAGGTCAGATTTCTAAATAATAATATTCATTATCAGTAAAAAAAAAAACTCACTTTCTTAACTAGATAAATAATTTTCTATGGTAAAAGACTGAAAAAAGTGAGATTAGAAATAAGCTTTTTCATTTCAAAATTGATTGCTGGTCCATAAGATATACATGGTTTACAGTATCTTACGTAAAATAGGTAAAATACTGTATAAATGCTGGTAAAATATGTTCTGCAAGGTGCATGCTCTTGATAAAAAAAATAAAAATAACTTGGAAGGTGCTCCTGGTCATGACTCTGCAGTTTGAAATTTAAACATCATCTGAATCTGCTCTTCTTTATTTGGCCCCAAAGTCGAATGTAATGTACTTATTCAGATACAATACTTTGTAATATACACAGATTTATGGACCTTTATCATGAACTGGGATTTATAAAAACCCCCACAAACATAAAAAATAAAAAAATAAATATGCAGACAACAGTCTGATTAAATTATCTCAGTAAAATACATTGAGCTGACATGTGTTGTGAATTGGGGCAAAAATAAATAGATATGATTGAAAAAGAATTGATTTAAAAACGGCAATGTCAGAATAGATAAAATGCAGAAACTATAAATTTGCAACACATATATTTATTTAAATCACATTTTTTAAAAGAGAACTAACAAACCCCCCCTGAAGCACTTAAGCTATAGCATGTGGATGAGTGAGCGTACCTTTGAGCACATTTGAAGGAATCCTCTCCATTCTGATGCTCTTTGCTGCCCCTAGTGGCCGAGCTTTCAATCCATTCTTCTTCATCTTTGAGCTGGTCTGACTCGAAGAGATGAACTTTTCCACATCTGAAAAAAAAATGCTCAGTTTACTGTCTAAGGACTGAGACAGTAGGAAATAATAAAAATGCGTTTCCTTTTAGCAGAGGTGGCCTCAGCAGGCCTCTACAACTTTCACACCGTTTTAGCAGTTTTTATCATGGAGGCCCTTCCTGATTCACATCTCAGTCCTCTGTAGCAGCTAAACAGCAGCTAAACAACAAACAGTTTTAAAAAATGATCTAACTTTTTATCCATTATTTCTTAATTTGTTCTCCATCATTTCCCTTAAGCAGTTTCTCAGTTAACTATCTGGATTGAGAGGCCCTCAGGGGCATTTTATATCATGTAAAAAACTCCTAAAATCCTTAAAATCTGTCTTAAAGCAAGTAAAGATGCACCAATCTGATACTGGGAATGCACATCGGGTCCAGTATGGACTAATTAGAATTTCCCCATCTTTTTGCTGCTGTAAAGAGCAGAAATTCTCCTGACAATAAAGTGATTTTTTATTCTATTCTATTATTTTTTATCAATACATTCTATAATACAGTTACAGCGATCTAGTCACTTCAGTTTTATAGTTTCAGCGCTGGTTATATCATCAAACAGCAGCTAAGGATAATTTATATCAGTGTTATTTTGTTTCCTTTTTATAAACAATGTCTATGTCAAACATGATGCCTTTACTGACATAGTAATTGTTACTGTTTGTTCATTCAGCAGTAGTTTTGGAATTGGATATCGACCAATATGCTCCGGTAAAGGTATCACACTGGATTGGAAAAATTGCAGCAATGCATCTCTAAAAGCAAGATAAAACTGTGTCTTTCAAAGGAATGGAAAGTCATTTTATCTCCCTACCTTTAAAACTAAACACCAACAGATAAAAACAATAAAAGCTGAAGGAAAGTGTTTTTTTATTTTTCAGGTGCTAAATGCTTGCAGATCTCCAGGAAAGGTGAAGTTTTGAAGGCAACATATTACCTCTCATATTATAACAACAAATAACTTTCTACCATAAAAGCCATTCCATGTATGAACAGCAGAGTGATGCAGACACATAGCTTCATCCCACAGTGGCCTCAGCCTCAACCTTTTTTATGTTTTATTTTTTTTATGAACCAGCTTGTCAGATAATTCACTATTTAGATTGATTTTTAAGGTGGAACCAGTTTAGTTCTCTTCTTCTATCTGTTTGTTACCTGAAGGACTGTTGAAGGTCACCACAGCTGTGTTGGATTCCCAGATGATCTCCAGACTGTAGTCATTCTCCTCCACTCCACAGATGGTCTCCACCAACATCTGTAGCAAATCTTGAGACATGCTCTCTGAGACGTTCTCCAAAACCGCAACAGAGCTCGAATCCGACTCACAATCTAACAGGAAAAACAAAAACATTTCTTTTAATCAAGTATTAGTAAATAAACTTCATTTATATAACACTTTTCACAGAAAAAAAAAAGTTTTTCATGGAGTGCAAGTAAAATATGTACAAATATAGACTTAATATAAAACAAAGAGAATAGAAACAACTACTGAAAACTAAAAGCTTGTCTGGATAAAAGTGTCTTAAGCTGCTTTTTAAGAGAAAGAGGGACGGGTCAGAGCCTGAAGGGCAGACCTGTTTAAAACGGGTCTTATAAAACATCAGAAGATTCTGGACCAGGTACTGAAGAACTGGGTCAGAAGAATAAGAGATCCACATTTCTGTTAAAAGTCTTGCTGCAGCGTTCTTTACCAGTATTCTTCATTTCTACATTTTACCGTAAGTAGATTTAGCATAAATGTGTTTTTTTTTTGTTTCAGCTATATATTAACAATAAAAAAAGGCTTGACTTTCAAATTTCCAGAGAACTAATTTGCTTTTGTTCAACTAATGAGGATTTATTTAGTTGTTGAGCCATTTTAGTGCTTTTTGATCTAACTGCTGCTTTTAACACAGTTGACCACACAGTTCTTTTAGGCCGACTGAGGGACTGGGTGGGTGTCAGGGGGACAGCTCTGCAAAGGTTTAGGTCCTACCTGTCAGAGAGGTCTTTCTCTGTCAGGTTGGGGGACTGCACGTCATCGTCTGCCCCCCTTTATTGTGGAGTCCCTCAGGGTTCTATCCTGGGACCTTTATTGTTTGCACTTTACCTCCTTCCTCTCAAAGAGATTATTTTATCAAACATGTTATAGCGTAGCATTTCTATGCTGATGACTGTCAACTTTATTTGCCAATTGCTAAAAACAGCCACTGCCTCCTGAGACCCCTTCTTGACTGTCTGGGTGATGTCAAGGCTTGGCTGTCAAAAAACTTTCTGAAGCTTAATGAGAGCAACACAGAGGTGATGGCGTTTCGAAGTAGCATCTCTGACTTTGGACCTTTCAAGCATTTTGTGCGTTCCAAAGTAACCAGCCTTGTTGTCACCATAGACAGCGATTTTAAACTGAACGAACAAATAAATAGCGTTTAAAAATCGGGTTTTTATAATCTGCGTCTTTTATCTAAGGTAAAACCATTTTTATCTTTTAACCTCTTTGAGCAGGTTTTACACTCTTTTATTTCTAGCCATCTGGACTACTGCAATGCACTTTATTCAGGCGTTAACCACTGAGCTCTCTCGCGTCTGCAGTTGGTCCAAAATGCAGCGGCTCGCCTTTTGACAGGGACCAGAAAACATCAACACATTACACCAGTTGTTGCGTCTTTGCACTGGCTCCCTGTTCATTTTAGAATTGATTTAAAGATTTTACCTCCTCCAGATTTATTCTCTGGCATGTGCTCTGAGGTCTGAGGGCCATCTTCAGTTAATAGAGCCTAAGACGAGGCTTAAAACCAGAGGGGACAGAGCCTTTTCTGTAGCTGGTCCCAGACTTTGGAATACTTTGCCCCTCCATATACGGACTGCCTCTACTATGGAGTGTTTTAAGTCTCGTCTTAAGACCCACTTTTACTCTTTAGCCTTTAACAACGTGTAGTTGTGTGGTCCTCTTTAGTTTATTTATTGTTGTACTCTGTTTATGTATTGTTGTGTTGTTGTTTATTATTTGTTATGTACAATGTGCTATATAAATTGAAGTGGATTGGATTGTTTTTCATTTAATCCCTAAACTGATTAGTTGTTTATTTTTGCCATTATTCTTAAATCTTTGTCCAGGAGGCAATAAAGAGGAAACACTGACTATGCTGGTATAATCTCAGCACACAGAGGTATAATTACTCTTTAAAGATGATTTTTACCTCTCTGGTTTGTTCCAGAAGCTCCTTCTTCAGCTGTAGGCTCAGATCTTTGGTCCTTAGAATCTGCATGGAGAAATATTTTAGTTTAGAAATTAAAATTAAGACAAATTAGAGCTCAAAATGAACCGTCTACAGATCAGGAATGTTACTGTACACTGCTGCCACAACCAGGGGTAAGAAAACAATGCAGGATGGCATAAATAAAACACCTTTTTCTCTATTCTCGTTATTATTATTATAATCGCGTAAAATATTTTGTTTATATCTAATTTATGTTGTATCAACTGAATAAAGAAATATGCAGCGATATAAGTATTGACCATATCATCCGTCCCTTACTGCTATACAATTTGCATTTGTTTATTCCACATAACATCTTTGTAATCATATCGTCTCTGTGATTATCTGTGTGTAGCTCCTGATCATCACAGCAAATTACTGTGGAGCTTTAAACACTAATTGGGTATTAAGGTTTTTCTTAATCTGTAGTAATAATCTGATAAAATAAACTCTATCTTCACTGACACATCAAATAAATCAACAGTTTATTTAACAACCAAAGACTCGAATCAAGATTTGGATATTTCTTGTTTCACCTCAACATAGCCTGGTTTATTTTACAGAATTATTATTATTTTTTTTTTTTTTTTACCTCTAACTAATATTAAACCAATTAAAGAATAAAAGAACGAAAGGAACAAAATCAAATCAGTCTGAGTGTTTTAGAACTATTTTATAAAAACTGTTGCTGTTTTATTTCCCTCTGCTTTCCATGATAGAAAAAGGCCAAATTGATTAAAAACAGAATGAATAGAGTTGGAGCATCAATAGAACCGGGTCAAACCCAGCATCCTGTGGCAGGACGGTCAGATAATCACAATATGTAACCTAATTAGAGAAGTTTTTACCTGAACCATCGTCCTTGTTGTCCGCTGGAGTCTGAGGAGAAATCAGACAGAGAAGATTTAACAACATCTAAAATGAAGGGACTGTGAAAATATTTTATAGTGCATCTGATCATTGAATAAACCTGTAATAAATTCTGTATGTTTATAGGTTTGTTCATTAGAGGTGCGGCTCTAGATGTTAAGATACTGAGAAAAGCTTCAGAGTTCAGGCTTCGTTTTAAGGCCTGAAAGATTCAGGATATGAATAAAAAACATTATTCTAATATAATCACGATCAAATCAAATCTATATATCATTCTTTCAACAACTAATTCCTTATAAAGTGTTTAATGAGTTTAATAATATGTAATAAAAACTAACAAGTTTGGACCCTGGAAAATCCTTTTCTAATTTTAAGATTTTTCTTTTCTTTTTGAAGACATTGTTAGAATCTGCAGCCGCTCTCAGTGTTTCCCTCCCAAACTTTCTCAGAAATTTCATTTAAAAATGTTTTTCTTTAACCTTAATGTGGAAAAACTTCCTGGTTAGAGTCATTATAACTGCTCCCGCCTGCAGGAGCAGTTTGGACTTTGCTCTGCTTCTCTCTGGGTGTGGCTCCAACCCAACAGGTCGGTGCAGCAGCTGACTCTTAATCATTTACTGCTAATGTGCAGAAGGACAACAAAGATCCTGTACACCATTTTAAACAGAGGAGTTCCTCTGATTGCCAGCAGGTCGGAAAAACTGAGGACACTTCAGCTCAAAATGAACAAAGAAAACGTTTAAACCTTTAAATAAAGGCAGAAAATGCTTCTTTTAATCCTAAGCGTCACAGGGTTAAAAATCCTACAGATTAGATGACAGAGATTTCTAGATTTTCCTTGAGCCAAAACCATTTGCTGGTATAGTTATTTAGCTTTGGTCTTGCTGAGAAGCTGAACCGGATCCATGAATAATCTGCAGCTGGCTATTTTATATATATTTGACATTAAAATCCATTCCTGTCCCTTTTTTTGCCTCAATTTTCTCTGTTGGACTTTTATTGAGAAAATATTATAACTCACTCTCTGAAATGCAGAAAACCTTACAAATAAGGAAGTAAAGTTTTTTGAACCACTTTGGTTAAGGGATAAAAGGACAGGCTTCAGAGGGAGTGATTGGCTGCAACCTTTCTTCTCTTTAAGAACTGTTTCGCCACCAGGTACTAAAGGTTAGCGTCACATACTGCAGCTGAACCCTCCCACCCTGGAAACCACCGGTTTATTAATAGGCTCTCCCCTCTGGATGGAATCTGTGCTCCATCAGGACCAAAACCTGCTGGACCACAAGACAACAGCTTCTTCCCATCTGCATTTAGCCTCATAAACATGATCCCCCACCCCCCACTGACAATATTCCATAAAGAAATAAATAACATTCATAAAATAATAAACACATCTCAGCACATGTGGACACTCTGTAATCTAATTTCATTCTGCTGTTGTATATTTTTAATAATCGCCATTTTGCTCTTCCTCTGCAAAACTTGTACTATTATCCTTTATCTTCATAAAATCACTTTACAACCTGCATCTGTTTATTGGGGCGACAGTGGCGTTGGATGTAGGAGTTTGCCCTGAACTCGAAGGATTGACGGTTCAAGTTTCAGTGTTGTTGTGTCCTTGGGCAAAACACTTCACCTGCATTGTCTACTGATGGTGGTCAGAGGGCCCGGTGGCGCCAGTGTACGGCAGCCCCGCTTCTGTCAGTGAGCCCCAGGGCAGCTGTGGCTACAATGTAGCTTGCCACCATCAGTGTGTGAGTGAATGGGTGAATGAATGTAGTGTAAAGCGCTTTGGTCAAGTCTCCTGACTTGAATAAAGGTGCTATATAAGTACAGGGCATTTACCATTTCAAATAAGATATTTAGAAAGTATTTAAGTCTGCTGTATGTTTTTTATTGTGTTTCATCTCATCCCCACAACATAGTCCTCGTAAACTCTACTTGTTAATAAAGCTTTTTCTGAATCTGATTCTGCAGATAAGAAACCCTGAATTTATCACATCTGGGTGTTTTTGTTAAACATTACAGAGCTGGCACTTTAAACAATAACATAAGCAACATATAAACCCTTTATATTTGTACATCAGGGCTGTGTGGTTCCATCTTTATCTGGACATGTTTAGCAGTAAAGAGATGAAGCTCATGAACAGATAATGTTTTACTGCCTGCTACACCAAACCAGTTTGTGAAAAAAAAACTAAAATCTAATCTCTGAGGCTTGTTCAAGTTGGCCTACAGGACAGAAAGTGATGCTGTCTCTTCATGCTGCTCAAGCTGGAGGTTAACAGGATCTGCATGTGGTTCTCTGGAGCTACAGTGATCCTGAGATCAGCTTTTTCAAATCTACTCATTAAGTTTTTAATAAAACTTTTTTTCCCCAAACTTTAAGGAAAAAATCTGAAGATAAAAACAGGAAGAGGACTGTGTTTAAAAAAAAAATCTAGGACATTATTTGTTGGAGGTCTTCATGGAGGCCTTCCTGTTTGCTATGAGCAGCAGATGTTTTACCTGTGAAGGTTCAGAGCTCAGCTGTAACGTCAGAGGCTTGTTGTCTATGATGATCTCATGATGTTTCCTTGCAAGGACTCTCTCTCTGACTGGAAAACAATGGAACAAAAACATCATGTTAAAATAAAAACAACAAAGTTATGAACATGTAATACGGTATTTTACATGATTGGACGCCTCGAACATTCAGAACTGCCCTAATCCTTTATGTCATAATGGGTTGAAAAAAAGGGTAAAAAAAAGTCAATTTTATGCTGATACACTCATTTTTAATGAGCTTAACGGCTCTTAGACCAAAGTCTGTACTTCCTCTCCCACCCATTCAGCACAAACGCTGGTTATGCTGAAACTTTAAGAACTACAATGGAATTATGCTCTGACTTTTATAAGCATAACGGCCACAGAAACACTTTTTAAAAATACATTTACCTCCTTATTTGCACATATAAATGAAGGAAGACATAAACCCTGCAGCATTAAGACAGGGGAGCTGAAAACTACAGCCCTGATAGCAGATTTTATTAAAGAAACCTCATTAATATCTCAGTTCTGCTGGATCTGTTCCTGGAACCCCCTCTACCCTGAGCCTGACCCGGTTGGTTCATCTATCAACAGTCATCATGTTTTATTGCAAGTACGGCTTTGAATGGTAAAGATTTTATTTATATACTTTAAAAATAATCTGTTTGCACTATGGAACTAAAAACATAAACATCGCAAAGTATTTCTGTATCAAAACAGGCATATATCGCAATATTTTTAACTATTGTATTGCGTTTTAAGTTTAACATCATTCATAAGGTAGAGGTGGCACTCAGAGAAAAATGTTTGGGAACCGCTGTACCAGAGGAACACCATGATATCACCACCATAGGAGGCAGGATGGATCCATGAGCTCATGTCATGTCGGGTTCTGACCTGATCATCTAAATCCTGCAGCTTTTAGAAACACCAACTTTTAATTTAATCAAAGTTTGTCCAACAGTTCTGGTGAGACACAGTTAACTGATGCTATCAGTGTATCAACCCTCCAGACCACTCAGGTCTTCTGGCTCCAGCCTGCTCTGCAGACCTAGAACCAGAACTAAACATGGAGAAGCAGCATTTAGTTCTTCTGCTCCACTTATCTGGAACAAACTTCCAGAAAACTGTAAAAGTGCAGAAAGCCTGAGTTCCTTTAATTCATGACTAAAAACACATTTGTTTAGGATTGCCTTCCACTGTTCTAGTTAAACAGTTCAACTAAAACATCATTAGTTCAACTTTTTATTTTCTTTAGTCCAACTGTTTTTAATATTCGTTTTTGTTTCTGCATTTTTGGCTGTTACACTGTGTCAAGATCAGGGATCTTGTGGTTTCCTAAATTTTAATCATGTAAAGAATTTTGCATTGTCTTTGTACTGAATTGTGCTCTACAAATAAATGTGCCTTGCCTTGATGCCTAATTTTTCCTGATCTTAGGTGTTCTGCTGCTGTAGCTCCTCAGCCTAAACGTTCCCCATGCTGGGCTTTCAGAGATGTTTTCTGAGGGATGATAGTCGCTACCTTCTGATTGGCTCAGATGCTTTGTGTTAACCAGCAGGTGCACTGGCCACTAGTCCAATGTTTTACCACAATACAGAGATCAGAACCACAGGAAGGACTTTCACTGCAGATACACACGAGTTTCCCTTCTGTGGGACAATAAAATATATCTCCTTTCTAATTATGTCAGGTTGTTTCTGTCTCCATCACTGGTCTGATCAGATCTGAACAGACTCCATTACTAAACATCACTAACATCAATAACTTGCACCAACAGCCTAATGCAACAAGTTTTAGGAAGTCAATGAACCATGTTCAGTCAGTGGATTAAATCAGCACTGCATTATTTCCTCCTGCAGGTTGTTGTTTCACCTGCGCTGACTCACCTGTTCCATCTAGGCTAATATTAAACCAGCTGCTGTATAATGACTCTAACCTGATATACCTAGTCACCAGCATCCTCCCTGCAGGCTGACCTTTGAACTCAGAGGGACCTGAGGTCAGTTTGGGGACAAAGAAGCTGTGGAGACATTAGATCAGCAGACTGCTGGAGCCATGTGACTAATTCTACAGGAAGGAACTGAGCTGCATGCTGGGACCTCAGCTGACATCTGAAGATTGTTTATTAACCAGAATATGTAGTTTTTACATTTTCTGTCATATTTTGATCTTTAATAACATCTTGCTTTAACTCTTTTTATTCTATATAAGCTGCTGGAACTAGAATCCCCCTGCAGGAGTAATCCCAGGGGATAAATAAAGTTTAGTCTAACTTTAATAAGGATGATTATTGTCAGAATTGGTTTAAACAGGAAGAAGTGGATTTTTGTAGGAATGTTTTAGATGTTTTGAAGTCAGAAAGATAAACTGAGCGTCATCTTTGTCTCACATGAACTTCTTAGTAAACAGAAAGAGGAGCTTTGGGCCGCAGAAACTCACCCTCCTCTGATCGGAAGAAGACGGAGGCTCTGGGCGCCTCCTCCTCCACCTCCACCCGGCACTCTCCTCCTCCGGACTTCTTCTTGCTCTGGAAGTAAAGCAGTAGTTTGTTTTTCACCGTTTTACTCTGAACTGAGCTCCAGTTCCCCTCTACGGTCAGAGGCAGACACTCAGAGTCCTCCATGGTTCAGGTCTGAAGCCGCTCTGACACTGACAGGAGAAAAACAGAAACAGGGGGAGGAGGGGGGAGGAGTTCAGCGACAGTTTTCTTTCACTTTCGCTTCTTCATAAACGGAGAAATAAACTGAAGCAGAAACAGATGAAACTTATAGAGCAGAGCAGCTGCTGGACATGATCTGAAGGACTTTAAATGAGAACAAACGTTACATTTACTCAGAAACATAGTTTTATTGACAATAAATAGAAATAAGTGGAAAAAAAGAGTCAGCAGCTCATTTCAAGACAAAGAAGAAATTCCTCCCTGAATTATTCCCACACCCACACTTACAGTTGGAATAAGTTTAGTCTCTATTGCATCATGTTGTCATTTGTTTAGGGGATTGAGTATAAACATTTGTAACTTAAATAGTTTCAGACAGTTAATTGAAGTTTAGATACATTCAATGCTAATTAAAAAGTTCTGCAAAACATCAATGCAAAAAAAACAAACAAACATCGCCCTCTAGTGGAAATGTTGGTATTTCTTTGTGTTTTTGGCACCAAAAACACACCAGTACTCTCGAGGGACTGACAAACTATGTTTAAACTGTCTTTTTATTGGATGGTTACTTTTTATTTCTTATATGAAGATTTTTTATTTTTTTTCTTAATGTATGTCTTTGTTATATAAAGCACCACCCATCCATTCATCCACACAAATCCTACATGAACACATAGCGAACATAAACCCCATAATTTCTCTGCATCTGGTTTAATGTCCTAATGTTAATATTAATCAAGATTTTCTTTATGTGTTGAATCTACGATTCTTTGTGGAATTCATGAATATAACAATATAGGATCAATAAGTGCTGAAAACGTGTTTTCTCCACAAAATAGTCGGTATAATTGGTAAATGCTCAGCAAAGATGCCTGGGGCCTGTTTCAGAAAGGAGGTTAAGTGAAAACTCTGAGTTTGTTAAGGCTGAAATGAGGGAAACTCTGGGTTTTCTGTTTCAGAAAGGGAGGTAAGTTAAACCTGAGAAAGCAGAGTAAGTCAAGCCCGTTTCTGAAAGAGAGGTAACTTANTATCTATCTATCTATCTATCTATCTATCTATCTATCTATCTATCTATCTATCTATCTATCTATCTATCTATCTATCTATAATTGATTGACTCCTGACACCCCAACCCAGCTCCTTATTAATAATAAATAAAACCATCTTTAATATTAGTCTGCATGTCAAGCAACTTGAATGAACTGATCTGAATATTTATTAGGATTTTCTTTTTGTCTTGAACCCGTGGAGATCTGTGAAATTTATAAATGCAGTAATTGGACCACACAGTTTTAAAATAACATTTTTGTTCCACTGGAAACAAGTTTAGGCAGAGGTAAATAATGGCCGAACACTTATACAGGCTGGAGCTATAATTAAAACCAACAATGTTTCTGGGCAGTCCTCAACAACCTGTGATAGTAACATACAAGTACCACAGGGGGGAAAGTTTGCTAACGAATCTAAGCCATTATCATGGGAAGTCCCATCCTTCCCGCAGACAGTGCTGCAGACAGGAGGCCAGCTTGTTTTGTTTTTATGGCCGAAATTGCAGAAAACAACTTGTGAAGTTGGACCAGCTAGAAGAATGAGGTGCGCTAGAACGCTGGGACCCTTTTTCCACCTGGATCTCCGCTCTTTTTCGTCGCCATGTTCCTCTGTTCCTACTCGCCCCCACTTCCTCATCGCCTCGGCTGTATCTAGACCCACAGTGTATATATAGCGCAGACCACGCTTCATTACTGAGCATAGATCAAAAATGTCTGCGTCAAGCTCACTGTGACACACTGCTGCAGGAGTATAACCAGCCACACAATCGTTCTGATCTGAAAGACAAATGTGATTACCGGTAGGTTTGGTTGTAACCAGGCAGCGTTAAAATGACAGAATTTCATTGGCCTTCGTTGTTCTGAATTTCCCTTGAAATATATGATACTGGTAGCCTACTTCCACTTAGCCTGCCTCAAATAAAGTTTCACTGTGATGGCAGAACAGTTTCCATTAAGTTTTTTTAAAACTTCGTTTGGCCAAGATTCCGTTCTGTGTCTTTTTTTGTCTTTTTTTTTTCGTATTGCCATGCAGAAAAACTTCAGCTGGTGGAAGATGTCTGAATAATGTTCTGGTTATGGTAACTGTACTTTTTCAATAAATGAACCTAGTATTTTATAGGTTCAGAGAGACACAAAATCTTGTTTTTATTCATTCCACTGATAGTCTGTTTTGATCAAATAGAAATAGAGGCCTGCCTCTAATTCTGGTCTCCTTCCAATAATGGCCTGGACCAAGATGTACCTGAGTGAAATAAAGGCCCCGGCCTATATTAGAGGATTTACAGTATATAGAATGTGGTTTCATTCTTGCACTCTATAAAATAAAAAATAAAAAAATAAAATTTTACAGTATATAAAACTGTTGGTGAATCTCAGCTTTTAAGTTTCTCATTATAAAAAATGAGAAAAGCAAGAAACATCAGCTAGATATTCATACAAAACAAATAGGGGAATTCAATGTTTCTTTAACTACTGTTAAGACCAGAGGGCCTCAACTTGGTTTCAAGTGGAACAATGAGTTTAACCATTAATTGTATTTTCTGATCTTCATGTTTTTTTTTTTGGTTTTGTTTTTTAAATCAGTATACCGTAAAATAATACTGATCCCCATTTACATTCAGTCTGGTGCTGTTATTTTGTGTAATGTTATTATTGCAGCCCATCCCGTTATTAACTTCAAATTTGCTATGTGGACAGTAATGGAGCCTAGGCGGGAGTTCAACTGAAGAAACTCCTACATTCTACATCTCCTACATCCATCTGCGACACAATCAATCAGCTTTGAACCACACCTCCACGAAAACCAATCAGCATCCAAAGATCATCTTAAAGGCCTCCGATTTGCGGCGGGCATTTCTTACCGCCTTCTAGCATCACGCAGGGAGCTTCATGGCACCTTTTCCCATTGCATCAGCAGCACTCATATGATCTCTTCATCACAGCAGGTGCATTACAGCCCTCAGTTCATTGCTTCAGGCGCACCGCACCCAAATCCATTCCATGCGTTCGCATCACTAAGGCTTCACTTCGAACCCCTTAGCATATCATGGCTTATGTATCTCAGGTGAACATTACGTTTATACCATCACGCCTTGCTCTTTTTGCATCATCCCACGTCGCTCTTTCATTTTCAAGCTGCTTGATGGCTAATTGCATTTCCTTCCTTCTTGCCAGGTTCACTGTTTACGGGGCCGCCTTTTGACTTTTCTTTTGGTCTAGACTGCTTCTTGTTTGGATCAGGAATCTTTCTACTATCACATCATGTCTACAGCTATGTTTCAACTTTACTGATATGCCTCATTCATAGGTTTTGGGGGGTTCTTTGAAATTGTTGGTTTGCGGTTCATTGCCTGCTCCCCTCATCAATTCAATTCTCTGCTGTGAGGTTTATCCATTAGCTCTAGCTTGCATCGTCCGGCCTTCATGGGGCAGTCACAACAGCGATATATGGCGTCTCCCCGACTTTCTCAGAAACAGGGCTGATTGTCATCAGCTTAGGCCTATATATCCGCCCTTAGCATGCATTCATCCATCCGAGCTGCTCAACGTTCTCTCTGTCAGGATTTGGTTGAGGTTTGAGGACCCAAGGTGGCAAGGAGGCAGAGGTGAGTTTCTTGATGATTTAATGACAAACAAATCCAAAACCATGGAGACATCTGGGGAAAAACAATCACGAGGAGGAGGTCTCAGAGAGGCGGAGTTGGCAGAAGTTAGACAGGGAACCAGCAATGAGGAACTGAACAGAGAGTGTATTTATGGGAGACTGAAACAAAGAGAGGACTAACAAGGAGATTGGGAGCAGGTGTGAACAGAGCAGAACAGAAAAGGAGGTAGGGAAAAAGGACAACACAAGAGGGCAGCAGAGCGCAATAAAAAAAAACCCTGAAAACTGAAAATAACCAAAAAACACAACAAAATAAGAATTAAACCACTAAAACTAGAAATCAAGGAGCAAAGTAAAACTGAATACTCAAAAGAAAACATAACAAAACCAAAACTGTGACACTCTCAGCCTTAAGGGTAAGCTAACTTAAAATATTGGTGGTGGTTTCAAAATGTATTCACATCCTTTAATAGATCTAATGTCTGATTAATCCAGTTGTTTTTATAACCATTTCCGTCTCTCATCTAACTCTTTTAATTCTTCATGCCAAATGGTTTCATACCAGGCTACTTTCTATCATTCATCCCCTCATTCATCCCAGCATCATTCCCTCATTCTTCCAGCAATCATACTAGCATTCATGCCTCCCACCCATCACCATTCAACTCACCTCACCATCCCTTCACAACGTTTGGTAGGCCTTCACGGCAACTGGCCTTTAGTAAGCCTTTGGGGCTCATCTCCTCTGTTACTCCTCCTGCTGTTCTACATTTATTAGCTTTCAATTCAGTCTCTGCCTTTTGAGCATGCTATCGTATCAGCCTCAGCCTCGGCAACTTTTTTGGGGAAATAGCCCTATTCTTTACTCCTGTTCATGCATATAAATCAAATTTAAGCTCTATGTTTCCTGCGGAGGTCTGAGCACAAAAGAGAAATTGTATTAATATATTTATTCTAATTGTCTTTTCTTTTCATGTGAGTTTTTCAGATTGAAATACTGTTCAAAAATTTTTTTGCAAACAGATGTTAAGTTCGAGAGAAAGGCCTCTAATGGACTATTGCTTTGCTGAGGGGATTTAAGAAATTGCTGATAAAGAAGAAAGGTCAGGTCATAGAAGTAAGTCCAAACATGTGCCTTTCTTATTGGTGTGCCCAAATGCATTTTCCCCCACAGTTACCTGCATAAGCATTATTGCTTTTCTGGGAATGGTGTCCTCTACCTCTGCAAACTGATGGTTCCAACATTCAGCACAGTACAGAAAAGAACCAAGCCTACAGGCTAGGCACACACACACACTCGTTCTGCTATTGTAGTGAGGACCATGTGTTGACTTCCATTGACTTCCATTGAATTTCAGTCATTTTTCACCCTTTCTATGCCCTAACCCTAAGACTAACCCGAAACCTAACCATTACCAATGGATACCTCACTCAATTGACACCTTAGCCCTAAACATAACCATTAGCAAAATAGCATGTGAGGACCAGCAAAATGTCCTCACTTTGCAACAACTGGTCCTCAATCTGATGGTGAAATTGGAAAAATGGTCCTCACAGTATAAGCATAACCCACATCAACAAAAATACTGTGCTTATTTTAAACATCCTTGTATATCTATGTTTCACAAGTTGTGTTTATCTTGACTTGTCCTTTGATGAGATCTAACCTACTAACTGAAGCCTGATATGTTAGTGGCCATTTATCCAAGCTTTCAACTCAGACCTTTGGCTGATGTCAAATGGTAATTGATATCCTGACTTCCTCTTGGTAAATAACCTATCTAAACAATGACTGTACTTCAGATAGAGAGATGTGTTGTTAATAAGAAAACCTGATGTCCTTCTGGCCGTGCATTGTCGTAGCACATGCAGTGTGATTAAGAGCTGGAAAAAAAAACTAAACAGAGAAAAATAATCTGAAATAGATTTTTGCACAATTTTTCCTCTTTATTTTGTTTTGAAGAAAATTACACAGGTTATCTAAGTGATTTATAACAATATATTTCAGTGTTGGTGATCTACTGTAGAAGAGATATAGTAAGACAGAGATTATTGTTATCAGAATTGTTTCAGAAGTGTAGAACTCTTATCTGAATGTGATCAGATATTCTGGATATGCCTGAGTGTCATAGAAAATAATAAACATTGAAGGATGAATCAAACTGTCAGTTACACTGTCATAAAGGTCTGCACTGGGGCCAGTTTTGGCTGGGGGTGCGATCATGCCAGATCTTCCTTGAGTGTAGTCTCCAACGAGAACCCTGGCCTGGTACATCCGTTTATGACCCTGAGTGTCTGGTTGAGCAAAACTTCTGGCTGAATATGCAGGATCAACAGTAAAGTAAGAGCCATTACCATACATGGCACCTGCAGGACATGAAACAGAAACGTGGATATGGATATGATCATGGATATAGAGATAAATGTCAAAAACATTTAGAGGGTAGAATATTTTAATTAATCTCCAAAATCCATCTAATTAATATAAAACCAGCACAGTTATAGTTAGAATAGTCTATAAAATCATTAACATTAAACTAACGAGAGAAGGAGTCCAAATATAGAGCCCTGCGGTACACCTTATAAGATGGAAATAAAACGGCCCTTAAAAGACTAAAATAATTAAATGTTTCTGTTTTCAGTCTTTTTAATGTACTATCCAGTAAAGGCTTTTACCATGCTGTCCTAAATAGCTGTTGTCCATAACTGCATAATTGAAGCTCCTAGAGTTGATCATGTCAATGGAATCTGCCCTGGTGCCGTGATACATGGCACCTGCAGGAAATCAAACAGAAAAGATGTCATGGATGGTGAGATAAATGCACGTTTTAAGATATAAAGATATGAAAATGTAAAAGGCATCAACTCAAAGGCAACAAGTGAGCACTGTGATAGTCAGATATGTTTTAATGTATACATCAAATCTTTGCCAAACAGTTGGAAATTCATACAACCAATCTGAAGATAACACACTTCTACAGACCTGCTTATGAAGCCCTTTGATTCTCTGTAGCATACTGTCTCTACCATAGGTGGAACAACCAATTAAAGCAAACAGTATTTGTATGACTGTAACTTAAGTTGTTCATTCAACATAAGACTAAAAATACCGTTATCACTTCAACATCCAATTATAAAACCTGATGCCTTGGAGTACCAGTACAAAAGCCTAATGGTCAGAAGGCCATACAGATATTTGTATAAAATCAGTTAAAAGTAGCACTGTATCAGATAGAAAGAATAAAACAAACAATGCAAACAGACAAAAAATACAAAAGAAGGGGTCCAAATAAATTACACTTAGGGAAGCCTAAAAAATTAGCATCACATTTTTATTTGGTTAAAAGAGTTTAAAAGGAACAGGCACAGCAATTTTTTTTTATTTATCATTTCTTTTTTCACCTTGTATCGTAGAGTATCCAGTGCAATGGCTTTTAACATTTTGTCTTGTGTAGCTCCTGTTGAAGCCCTTAGAGTTGATCAGGTCAATGGAATCGGCCCCAGTGCCATAATACAACAGCTTTTCATTGTTGGTGTGCTTGTTCTTCACCTCCATCTGTTTCTTCTGGAGCAGGTAGCTTTGCCAGAGAGTCGTGTTTTGGATCCGTTCGATCTGTTGATACAGTTTAAACCACATGTTGATTAATCCAAGATCAAATCATAGATCTTTGCTTTACACATGTCTTTCAGTATTGTGGGTTCTCTTGATAAAGTACATTTATTTTCAATGCTTTTATACTGTTAATGTCATCGCTAGAAGAAACAGTAGGATTTTTAATATGAGATGTCGTTTAACTATATGCTTAAACTAACAGCGGGACTTGTTCAGACAACAAACCTATTTCATTACTCAAGATAAATGATAAATTGTATACTTAAATAATTTTCAAAAGAACTAGTGTCATGCCCATGCCATTTTTTGGCACCGATACGATACCTGGCTGTGCGCTATTGGACGATACTGATACCATATCGATACCATCTGTTTAAAATTGATGTGTGTGTGTATATATATGAAGAACTGCATATCACTTGGATGTAAAGTAGTTGCCATCATGGCTTTGTCAAGCTGCTGCCTACCTTTGTGAAGCAGGAAAAACACTAATACAAAGTGAATCCAGTAGAACTTTTTATTGCCTACCTGGAATGGGTGACAATAGTTAAAAAATAAACTTTTGGCTAAAAATGGTATCAGTGGCGTATTTGTTGGTAGTTGCCGATAGCGATACCACCATTTTATTCCTGGATCGGGGTTCCCACCCAATATAGGTACTAAAAAGTGCAAAAAGTGGCTGCTGCTTCATTTTGTTTCACTTTGCTCATTCCATTCACCTGTCTAACTCTGCCTGTCTGCTCATTACTGCTCATCTGATGCATTTGCTTAACTTATGATTCACTTGGAGTTTAACTTCATCTGTTGTTTATTTCAGTCACTTTGAAATCTTCATACAATAAAACCCACTAACTGAACGACTGAGAATGAAATCGGATCTTTCCTCTGTCAACAAAAGTAATATATAACTGCATTCACATCTAGCTGAGTGGATGGAAGGTTCTGTAAATGATGCTGAAGATATAAACTCAGCAGAAATACATTCTTGTTGCGCTACTCATTTCTCCAGCTCGAACACCCAGAACTGCATCACAGTCAGAATGTGTTCAATTATGTGATCATTTATAAAAAGTTTTACACAAAGTTAGCTGTCCAAGGAATTAAACTCGGTTAGCCAGCGCATTTAAACTTAGGACCTAAGTATTAGTTTATTTCTTATCGTTCTTTTTCCTGTTGCAAACAGTTTTTTCTTTAATAGCCACATTCTGGTGTTTCAAACTGTCCTAGTTGTATCTGTTTGATGAAGGAAAACATACTTTTCTGATGTTCAAATAAAGTCCATTTTTGGTGAGTTCTGCTACCACATCATTGTATTCCTGAGATCCAGCAGTCAGGGGAACCTGCTTCACAATGCTGTCCTTCATGTCTTCCCAGTGTTGAGGCAGTGATGCATCATTGACTAGGAAATAAAACAACGTTTTCACTCACTGTTAACTAATGACATGGTTTAATTTTCAGCATGTACTGTTTCGAAATTTTAGAAATGTGATAATTTTGCATCTCGATGTAATTTCCCTACACCTAATCCAACAAACTGATTAATCTCTAATAAAGCTGTCTAAACAGGGATTTGCAGATTTACTCACTTATCAAGTCTTTTCTCATCAGCCCCATCTGCTTCCATCCGTTGCAGGAAACATCCATTGTAAGACCCTGGTTAGCATTGAATGTGGTACGTTTTGTTTTTCTCATTACACTTTGTTTTATCCTACAAGCTTCTTCAAGCTCTTCAAAGCTGGGTGGCCCATATGAGTCAAATTGGTGATGGAATATGCTGTCAACTTGTTCATGCACCAGTGGGCCTTTATTACTGAAATTCTCTTTTCTTTCCAATCTGCGAATGATGTTCCTAGGCAGCACCAGAAATATACAAAAAACACTAATAATACCGTGTTAATGAATGAATGCCCTTATTAAGGATGGTGTCTGTTTGCTGACCTGATTTCTGACTCGGCTGTTAAAACATCTCTAGTCAGACCCTCCAGGTGGATCCTGGGCTCCTGGTCTTCCTGTCCTCTTTCCAGACGGATGCTCACTGTCAGCTCCTTCTGCAGGGAATTCAGCTCTTTGATGTCCTCTTGACTTAACTGGTTAATGTACTGGTCATCGATGGTTCTCTGGACCTGCTCGTGTAAAATAAGATCACTGATCTTCCTCTTGGCCAGGCTCAAATTCTGTGAAGAAAATAGACATAACTCTGAACATTAAAACCCAGGTTTAGTTCAGTGTCATGAAGGTTTTATTGTTTTTAATGAAATGCAGGGCCCCATTACAGAAGGTGGGCTTAACTTAGTCCGAGCAGAGTGAACATATCCTGAGATAACGTGTTTGACTTTGTGATATTCAGAATTTTTTCTTTCAGAACAGCTGATATCAATTAGGTAACTGATTATATAGGTAACTTATCTCTTGGTTAAGTGTGAGTGTGATCGGGGTTTATGCCCTCAATTGATGAATCCTTTATCAATGGTGGGCAAAACCATGATCATCGGAACCCATAATCCACCATGGCAAAGGAAGAATGCATGAAGCCTAAAAGTGCACAATTCTTTCCCATGGAACTGATAGTGTTAATGACAGCACCGGATTGCTGGTGCTGCAAAACAACAAGATCTGACATGGCAAAGACCAATTCAATGCTTGAGTGTGCTTTGACAAGGATTAAATAATGTATTGTAACTCAAAATTAATACTAACATATGTATTTGAAATAAATAGTCATTAGTATACATTTTCACCAAGTATACTTTATTAATTCTGAATACATAAACCTGACAATAATTAACCCATATATATAAAAACCCATATTAAACTAATGGATATGCATCAAGTTAAGTTTTATAGATGTGTGTTAAAATAATCTAAAAAAAGCAAATGTGATTTTGTTATGTATTAAATAAAATCTGGGTGAAAACTTTTTGTGAGTGTGTGTTTCTGAAGATGCAGTGAGCATCACAGATCCCTGAAGCAATAAGATGTGCTCAAGTTATACAATGCACCTAATTAATTTGGTTAGTTCAGATTGGGTATGATACCACATCTTAGCCCCGCAAATTGCCAGGTTAGTTTTCTCTGGTAAATTAGTTCTGGCTTTATTCATACATACGTAATCCTGACCCAGTAAATTATTCAGTAAGGCTTTAAATGTGAAAAGAGCAATATATTCTTAAACAAACCCTTTGGTTTTCAGCACACAGGTGAAACACTGCAGGATCAAACTCCTCTTTGTCTAAAAATAAGCCAGTTCTATTTTGCTGCTTCACCGATGTTCCGCGAATTGAAGTACCTGCAATAACAGAGAGAAAAAAGATTTGTCATGTGATATAGTCTTTATATTGATGTTAAAATATTTGTATGAGAAGTGTTTGAACAATTGTTTTAATATTTCTGCAGAATAATGATATTAAGAAATATGTGTAAAATCTCCAACAGACAGGACCTTATAGTTAACATACAAATAGCACACTCACATAAAAAAAAAAATATTTTAAGATTTCTTTGACTTTATTCCAAATTGTTCAAGATGAACTTAGGTTCTAAAAAATATACATGTACTGTATACTTTGAATTGTGATATCATTGAATGATTAAACTGCCAATGGTTTACAACCTAATTGTTGTGCTTGTTGTACTGTTTCATTGGATGTTATAAAAGGGACTTTGGACAAAATGTATGATTTGTTACTTATGTTCTATGTGTACATAGTTCATTAGTTTTCTTTAATTATTTTAATTTCATTGGTAATAAAATTAACTTGCCTATTTAGAGTTGCTGCCTTAACTATGTTTACCATCATTTAAATAATTTTAGTTTTTTATAATTTAACTCGAGTTAAAACATTTCAGTATGTCAACCCCTCCTTTAACTGCCACCCCTGAAACCCCTCCACCAAAGCAGGCAAGGGATTTTAGGGCCCGGACAATCTTAGAGGCTATGTTGTTGGGGCTTAAATGGCAAGGGTAGGTCTCCAAGGCAAACAAGCTCTGGGTGACGGATCAGACAAAGAGTAGTGCAAAAAGTCCATGACATAATGATCTTGGCATGTCATTTCTCAGAGCTGGGACCCCACCCCGGGCTATGGGGTGCATCGGTGAGGGCCTGGTGGTCGGGATTTTCCTCAAGTCCTTTTTTCTACTCAGCCAGGCACACAGTCTCCTAGGTTCCATTAGAGCCTGGAGACATGGAGCATTATCTGCCTCCATTGTTGATGCGGTTGCCCGCAGTGGCAGTATGGGATGCTGTCAAGCTGAAGAAGGAGCCCTATTGAGCCTGGCTGGCTTGTGGGACTCCTGAGGCAGCAAACAGGTATCATGGTTTAAAACATGCCACTGCCCGGGCGGTCTCAGAGGCAAAAACTCAGGCCTGGGAGGAGTTTAGGGAGGCAATGAGAAAGATAATGAGTCAGTGTGCCTCAAAGTGACAAATCCTTGTCCCCTACAGAGAGCCAGACAGCCAGCCACATCCACTTCTTCCATGCATAGGATTCAACTTTTTCCTAAATTGTTCATATTTAGGATGATATGATTGCTTCCAGACAATGCCCTGGTTCACCAACTCCCAATACTTCCTGTCGATCTCTGATGCACCCAAGGCTAAGGTTTGATAGGTGCTTTAGAAAACCACAGAGCTTCTCTGCAAAGGCCTTCAGGACTCTGGGACTGAAGTATCTGTGCCTGGTAACAAATTGAGATTCAGTCCCAATTGCCTCTGCATCTGATGTCTGGAGACAGAGAGGTAAAAGGTGCAGGGAGAAGCACAATCTCCTGAATGAGGGTCCACGGCAGAGGCGGAAGATTATGCTTTGGGTCAAGAAGAGGTGGAAAGTCAATTTGACTGTGAGCAGGAGAAAATTATGCTGAGCTTGTTTTCAATTAACCCATTAAATAATTTGTTCTATTCAGGCTCTGTACATTCTTCCCCTTTATCTTCTTTATCCCAGAAAACACACCTCTGATATTGTTCTGCTGGAGCTTGCTTTCCAACCTATTCCTGCATGCCTCATTGTGTTCTCTTATCTTGACCTTAAGTTTCTCCCTTCCTGGAGGGTCTTTTTTGTTTAGCAGATTCCTTCAGATCAGAGGTGATCCAGGATTATTATTGAAGAAGAATTTAACTGTTCTGGAGGTTAAGATGTTATCTAGGGAGAAGTTTATTTTGTCATTAATACATCCAGTCAATACATTGATGTCCTCTCCATGTGGCTGATACACTGAATTGGGCTCTTACTTTAGAGGTGTAGGAATTCTTGACCTTTAACATTAGAACAAGTACAAAATTGTGTACTCTGGTATGACAACTGACAAACTGTTGGAACGTAGCGGTGTAGCAGTAAGTAAGGCATGATTAAGATCACCAGTTGCTGCCACAAATGCATTTGGCCTTTGTGCTGGTAGACTAGCAACAGCGGAGTTGATTGCCTGGAAAGACATGCATTCTTATGTGGCATTAGGGTTTCTAATCTAAGCCATGCAAACTTTTTTAAGTACTCCTCCCCAAAGACATGTTCAAAAGGGGATTTGTCTCTTGCAAATCACATTGAGTGTTTTGCAGTGTTCCCAGGATGTGCGTATTAGGTGTAATTTAGTGACTGTTTCCAGTGCACAAGGTGTCAAGTTGATCCTGAATAGTTCCAATGGCGACAGTTTGCTGGCCTAAGTTTTTTCTGCATTTTATGTTGTTAATTTTATAGATGAATTTTTTGTATCCATAAGACCTTGTAAACTTTTTTTTATTTTTCATTCTTATGATTAGGTCACTTGAATTATTAAGCCCTCCAGAAGACAAAAAACTGTTGGTGTGATTTTTCTTACCTGAGGTTTGTTTTAACGGATCTAAAATTTGCTTCAATGCTGCTTCACGTTGGACGTACCTCTGCATCACTCCTTTACCACTGAGGTCTTTGCTGAAACACTAAAAAAACCCAACAAAACACCACAAGTTTAGTATTTTTGTCCCTAGGGAAGATGGGGTTTAAATGTGAAGAACAGATATCTTTTAGAAAAATACACCATTTAAATCTTAATGTTTGAGCTGCAGGGGGTGCTGATGCATAGAAAAAGACAGGCAAGTAAACAGGAAGACAAGGTTATGTACAGCAGGGGCAGGCACAGCCATTTGTACATCAAATCCATACCGGAAGCACTAATAGAAATGTAATGAAGTGATTAAATACACTAGGCTCAGGTTTATCCACCAATGTTAGGATTAGGGTTAGCCCTCAGGGGACGGATCAAATCAAAGTGGAGGACATAGCCATTTTGGGGCCCCTGGCAAACTTTAGTCAGGGGTCCCTCCTCCAAGTCAGCCTAATGTACTGGTCAGCCCTGAGTGTGACAGATTCTATGGAACGGCCACAGTGTTCATCCTACAATACTGTGAAACAGAAAGCAACTCAACTGCAGCTTTTACTGCGGTCCCTCTCCTGATTACCACAGCTGAAAAATTAGCTGCTGATTCTATATCATCCGAAACTGATATACTTATTAGTCTGGAGGGAGCTGTCTTTCAATGGGCAGACACACCAGTGCTTGATGCAAAATTGGTGATGTGTCTAAATCTGCAACTGCGGCTTTGTACAGGAGACCTCCTTAAAGACCCGCACTTTTCACTTAAAAAAAGAAAAGGTGCTTGCACAACCCTGTACCTCTTCTCTTGAGAGAAAAGGTCTATTAAAAATGTGTGAGAGCATGCAAGAACCCATTTCTCCTCATGCACGCTCTGTCTAAAGTTACTGTTTGCATCGCTCATACAAGCTTACTTTCCAAAAGAAGATTTGCAACTTTTCCACTATGTCAGACTCACCACCACTAAGTGAAAATGGGGATGAGCACGTAGGACTGTATAAATGAATTTTCTGTTCCTGTGAGCAAACATGAACTCGACTCCAACTCTGTAAATGGCACTGCAGCTGATCTGAAAACAGCCGTGTTCCCTTGTCGCAGTGTTTTTTTTTTGTTTTTGTGTTTATTTCTCGTGTAATTGACAAGGCAGGATGACATCTTGTATAAGGAAAGGGGAAGAGAAGAATTTGATCGTGTTTTGAGTCATGATTTTTTATATTTGTATTATTTACTTTCAAACATTCATAAATAACCCTGGAGTGCTATTAGAGATATGGGCAACCAACAGTCCCCCTAATGGGGCCCCTTGTCTGGTTCGTGGTCCCAGGCAGTTGCCTATTTTGCCTGTATGGTAAGTCCACCCAGCTGGGTTTAGGTATTAAGTCCAAAAGCCTTAGGTTTTTTATTATTTTTCTTGCTTTGCTTTGTGAGAACTTTTTAAGCAAAACTATAGATGTTCAAGTAAACAAAGCGCAAAAGAGCTGTGTTTAAAAATCTCTACAAACAGCAGTGCTGAGTCATTTATGTAAAAAAATGTTGAAATTAGAATATAAATTAAAACTTCATATTCCCTTAAGGCCCTGTACCTGATTGTTTCTTAATCACTCTCAGAGAATTCCTTTCACATGGTATAATATGTGACAGAAGGGGTCATTTTATTAAAATAAATTACTCATTGATGTTGATTCTCTGCCTGCTAAGATGCATCTCTTCCTTGCTCTCCGCTTGCCTACATTTTTCTTACTATTTACTTTCTTATCTCTTGGACAAAGTGACAGAAAGTTGGAAAACACATTTTTTTCAAGGATTCTTTAGCTGGACTACGTTTGAAACATTTTTATGTTATTTTGATCAGACCGCAGAGAAGGGCACATCACCGCTGGAGATTAACCTACTGGAGGTGAATGGGGAAGTAAATGCTGGTCATGGAAATGAGATAACAAAACCTGGCCAAGTCTTCAGAGAGACATGTCTTCCATGCCGAGTATAACCAAGTGCAAAAAGCCGTTTGCTCCCAAAGCAAAAGATAAGGAAGGATCCAGTGACATTACTGATGAAATGGGAATTCAGCTAAAAAATCAGGTTTGCTGCCCTTCAGAATGACCTTGAAGAGAACAGCCTGTTTCCAGACAACACAAAAGGTATGACAACATTCAGATCTCTCCCAAAGAGCCTCATAATAAACCAGCTGCTAAGCCACAAACATTAATATTAACTGATGATGAATGTGATCAAATGCTTCTGCAGCAAGAAATACAAAGAAATAGTTAATGTTTGCTGGCCCAGGCTCAAAGAGGATCATAAAGATGACAGAATTACATCCAACCTTGAAGAACTTAATCATTTACAGAGCACTGAATAGTGTTGCTAAGATGAAGTAAGAAACATTAAAGGAAGACATAATTAGTCTGCTTAACACTGCAGAACAGACCCATTTTAAAGTGTTCATTAGCATTCCTGTTGCTCCACTTGTAGCAGGTGATAAAGTCTTCAGCAGAGTTTCCAACCTGAATAAGTTGATCAAATAAGCCTGCTCTGCAGGATCAATTGCCTTTATACTTTATTACTTTATCTTTCATGTTGGGTTCCAACATTTTATACAACCTAAACAAAGTACATGATGTAAATAAAAACCAGATAAAGAAAACTGCTATGATAAACTTGACTCTGCAGAGGCCCTGGAACACGAGTTCTTGGAACAGGAACAAGATTACAATGAACAAATAATAAAGACAGCCAAAATTGTCGATGAGTTAAAGGGGAAATATAAGTCACATATTGGTGCTTTGGAGCACCAACTAACAGGTATGTTGGTGTTTCAGGTATGGAATACCAACAGAAGCATCTCCCCTCCAAACGGACCCCACAAACCCTCCATAAAAATGTCCTGTTTCCAGCCAAACATTGAATGTGTCCATTCAATTTGACTATCTTTCCCCACTGATCTGATTACCATAAGAAATGCTATAATAAAGGCCTCTAACTTTATCATTTGTTTTCTCTGCTCATTGGGTTCATTATGTAGAGCTTCTGGTCACCAATCAGCAGCTAAGACCATTTTCAAGTGAGGAGTGTTTTCTCCAAGCGTGACACATCTTACACACATAAGAACATTGATAGAGTGGTTCTTATCCACTCATTTGAGATATTGGCTGTGTGTAAAAAAGTTTTCTGTGCAAGTGTTTTATTCAGGTTTTCCTTGTAAGTTGCTTCATACACTTTGCTCTCTACCCTGGCTAGTCTGCCAGTTCCTGCTTCTAAAAAAACATTTCCATAGCTTGATGCTTCAGTCACCATGCTTCACTATAGGGATAGTACTAATCTATTGATGAGTGGTGTTTAGTTTTCTCTAAAGTTGAGGCCTGGCATTCACACCAAAGTGTTCAATCTTTGTCTTCTCAGACTAGAGAAGTTTGTTTATCATGGTATAAGAGTCTTCAGGAGCCGTTCTGCAAACTGAGGCTGACATGAACCCTTCGTTATTGGCCTTATTTTATTGGCTCTACCTTTCTTAAAAAGATATCCTAAATAGTTGGTCTATCCTTAGATGTTGTCTGTATTTGGGCTGCTATATGTTTAGGCTACTGGATCATATAGGGACTACTTTTTCCTCATTCTGCTTCATTCTATCTCTATTCTCCCATTTTGTAGTATTTGTAACGTTCCACTCATAATTTTATGCTCTCTCTGCTTATTCTCATCATAGTTGCTTCATCTGGTCTGTTCCTGTTGCTGCAGTTAAGCCAGTCATCAGTGCCAAAATCATGACAACATAACGAAATTTTGAAAAAGTGCATAGCTGTGAATGTTTTCAGGATACATCCTGAAAGAGGTTTAAAAACAGATAATTTACTTTAATCATTTCTTTTGTTTACGTATAGGAGTTATTGAGGATCAAATGTCAATTATATAAGCGGAAGCAACTCCCCCTGATGCCACATCCCTACAGTAAAGTTAATGATCTCTATCCCAGTTCTCAGCTAAAGGCTACATTGTAGCCAAAGAAAACCCCTCCAGAGAAGAGTCTGTGTTGAATGACTGAATGAGAATCCTCCCTGCCTACGATTCCCAAGGAGCTGAAAACTGTGTCTCTTTTTTCATGAGTTTCAAACCAGATTTGTCAACCTCAGAACATTAGGAACCAGTATTCGAGGCAGACAAAGAGATTCCTAAAAATGTTTATGGGGAACTGAATCGAAGTGAACAGTGTCAGCGTCTAAGTGAGGAACGTCTGCAGGAGTGTTCAACAGGTTAGTGACTCCGTCTTTCTGGAAGTGGATGATAAACGTGTGAGTCACTAACCTGGTCTTATAGTTCAATCCTAGCCAAGACATAACGCTGACGGTCGGAGAGCAGGCAGGGGATCAGACCTGAGCAGGCAAAGGCAGGAGCAAGATCCAGAGGGTGATACTAAGGCTGATGTCGGTGATGAACTGTATCTGACCAAAATAGAACCAAACCCCCAGTAAAAATGTTGGATAAAAGATATTTTACATGTGTTATTTGTGTATTATTTGAAAGAAGCTTTCTGATTCAACTGCTGATGTTTTTTAAAGTAAGAATTCTGAACTGAAAGCTAATGCTGACTGAGCCTGACTAAACAATCCATGCTGTGTTACTGTCTGCTTTACCTCTTGGACACTTGATCTTGTAGGGGCGAGTGCTGAGGACCCAAATTTGGGTCCTCATGTGTCTGACAGTATAATTTCTCTTTTTCATTTGTTTGATGAGTTAGGCTACTTTGGTTGGACCAGCTAGCGTCATTACTTCCAAGCTACCACATTAGTAGCCCTATGGTAGCAGCATTGTTTGGAGTCCCATAACTCTTTTGTCCTAGCTGTCCCGCCCTGGAACTGGATATCATGTGCATCTGAACTTTTTCCAGTGTCACTGTTTCAATGAATTCCTGAGCTGAGTCATTGTTCATTTTTCACAGTAAAACCTTGTAAAACCTCACTGTTTTGATTGCATTTAATATCTTTGCATCAGATTCACTTAGCTGCTGCTATTTCGAATAACACTTTGAATGCATTAATCCTTAAAACTTGAACATTCCTCAGGGACTCTTGAACGGACTCTTAATCTTCTGGTAAACTTACACAAAAGAGTAAAGCAAATTGTTAGCCATTCAGTATGATTGGACTTCATCTGGACTGATATGGATTAGGCATCAATCTTTTGTTAATGATTAAATCAACAACATTCCTCATACATGCCCAGAGATAATTTTCTGCTTACTTGGGCTCAATCTGAATGCAAAATACATGTAAAGGGATTTGAGCCAAAGGGAAGGTGTGTCAGCAGTTGCCATGATAAATGCTGTTGAATAGTGCTTGCAGTAAGGAATGAGGTAGGAAAGGCATCCTGTTCATAGATCATTTACCATAGGGAACTCCAAATGTTCCTATTTGCTGAACAGAAGCGGGATGATCACCAACAATCCTCTGGGTGACATGACATATAAGCACAGTCCACCTCACAAGGTGTAACAAATTTCTTCACAGGTACACTGTGCGATGCATGCAAATGTATATACATTCATATGCTTGGGTTTTTATAATAGAGAGCTTCAGAAGTTCACTACATGTGTATAACTTTTGATTTTGTATTTTCTTTTCTGGAAGCTACTGTCCCGGTTTTGATTGGCATCATCATTGTGGGTGTTCGTTGTGTAATGACAAAATAAAATAAAAAAATGCTCTGCATGGGATTTGTTTTTGCACAAATCTGCCTTCCCATGCCGACTAAGAAGGCAGATTTGAGATGAGATAATGTGTTAAGATATTATGTTCAGGATATGTCAAATTTAAATTTTTGTTTATATGTTACTGCTTGCCCATGATGTTTTAAATGAGAGGATCCAACTGAGAAGGGTTGTTCCTAGGACTACTCACAGTCTTGCTGGAAATGTTTCCTCGACCTTGATTGATCGTAAGACCACTGTGTGGTAACCGGTTGAACATTCCAGACCTGAAATCATCACAAAAACTCATCATTTCAATACACAACAATTCAGTTTTTTTATTAATTAAGCACATACATACCTCCCACATACCTCTCTTTGCTAAACAAAAAATAGAGATATAGTGACAGACTAAAATTCTTACCCACCATGCTCCCCATCGATTTTCTATTTTTACCAGCAAGTTCCAAAGCCACAGCTCTGGAACTGTTATAGCTAGAGGTCTGAAATTTTCTGCATTTGTGGTTGACACAATGTAGAACAAATATAATACAATAAAACCTGCCTTTTCTCAAAAATGTCTTTATTACTACTGGTCAAAAAAGACATATAATTTCCGAGAATAAAAAAACAAACTTTGAGTCATGTTTAAACTGATGCAGGTTGATCTCTGTTCTAGTCACCCAATTTGTATATTAGGAAACTAGAGGTTGTCAGCCTTCCAATAATAAATTGCACATGTAATTTGGGCTTGCTGTTCCTAAGTTATTTGCTTGTCCATTTGGGTATGCAAAATAGGTGAGGATTACTCAAAATGAGGTGGATGTTAAGAGGTTAAGTGCTCATTTGTATTATGGCCAATTAACTTTGAACATAATTCCTAATAATATCAAAGTCTAAATTGTAGACTCTACAGGACCATTGTCTCTGTTATTAACCTGTATTAATTCTAAAATTTCTCTAAAATATACTAATACGTGATCCAAAGTCAACACAAGTAGCATTTCACTTGTAAACAACAGGCTCGAATTATTGGCTCTGCTCCAGATTGAAGTGGAGACAGTGGGGTGGAAACAGCCATATATATTTTAAATTAGTAAAGAGCACTGACGTATCTGGAATGCTTCTAACCCAGTACACGGTGTGGGACCATTTTGACTAACTACACCATGGTACTTTCACGTACAGTGAACCGAGGGGTTACACTGAAAGCTGTAATGCTCAATTTGTTAAAGTAGATCTGTTGGACTTCTCCTTTACCCAAGAAAACAATCCTAACAGCTAAACTGCCATACATGATATGGAAAAATAACAACAAAAAACAGGCTACCAATGGTACTGTGATTTCTCTAAATTGTGGAACCGTGACGGTTTTTCATAAAAATGGTGGTATAAAGCCATTCCCTTAGCGCTCCAGACATCCACCTTTGCCTTCAACAATTTTGTATTTTCAAGTTTACTCTTCCTCACTGTTTACTTTTTGTTGATAGAGCCCTTTCAAAACGAATATGATATCTGCGCTATACCTGCAGGAAGTCCTAAAGTCATTGACATCTAACAGAAAATGGTCAATGATCAGCTCTTTTCTTGTCATACCAATCTTCCAAAAGATTTGGTGGAGGGACATGTGGGAGAAGGAATCCAGGATAAAACCCAGAACTTTTGTATTGCAAGTCAAATACTCTGCCCACTGAGACACAGTATCCCTAGAATCATCTTCCAAGGACAGTTAAAATATTGCTGGACTAAAACTGAAACTAAAATGAATGTATCTTTTTTGTTGTTTTTTTTCCTTTTTTTTTGTGCATATTTGATCATTTCCTCTGCATTTTCTTAGCTTAACTAGTGCTGAAGGTGCATTCACCCCATCAGCAGTGTCTACTGTGTTTTCTGTAAGCATAGTGAGGAGTTGACTGCTTTTCATTTCAGTTCAACTGTGATTACACTGCTGAAAAAGTCCTCAAATAGGAGGAGTTTCAGCTACTTTTGTTTCGGAGGTAAACCATGCACCCATTAAGCTCCAAACCAAAGTTATTATTATATTTTTGTGCAGATTTATGCAGGTAAAACTATTGTTATTGCTGCTTTGGTTTTAAAAAATATTTTAATTTTGGCCATTCTGACCAAACATTAGTGCTGTGCTCATTTCAAAAGGTTAAGTTATTGCATAGCATCATTCAGCATTCTTGTTTCCTTATTTCTTATTTAGTGGGTGGAATCACAGTTTCATAGTATTAAGTAGTTCTTCAGCCTCCCAGCATTTCCTGTACGATCTCACTGTTGGCACATCACAGTATAAGCACAGGTAAAACGAAACATTACAAACTGCCTCCTAATTGTTCTCCATGCACAACTTTTGAATCAGATTGGGGAACATTAACATTTTATTTCCATTGTAAAGCCCTGAAAGTTCTAAAAAGCCCACTTTAGTTTATCTAGAGCTGCGTCAGGACGACGGTCCGATCTGCTTTATGTATCTAGCTGGGCAGAGAGGACCAGCAGTAGGAACAGGCATTTGCTAGCCATTGTCTTAGTTGGAGGTAAGGGAGGACAACAAACAGTTTTTCTAGGGCTACGTTTCAACCTTCGTCATAACCACAACCAGTCCCTGATCGCTTGCTGTGACTGTATTTCACAGAAAAATTCAAATTATTTAACTTCAGTGGTTACAGCTCCGCACTCTCCATAAGGTTCCGCTGTTTGACAACACCTCAGTTCTATCGGGTAGGACATTAAGTGAGTGGAGCAGTGAACACTCTTATAGTGTTCCCAATATTGCTTGCATAGTGATACTATGGAAATCTACCCCTTCACTGTGAATGCTGCATTCACTTTGAATGCACCTTTACAGAGGGCAAATCCCTCAAACTAAGAGTGCATACCATACTGTGCTCTCCAAAACTGGAAAAGAGTTCAATGTGGCAAGGTATGCAGATGAGGGCCACAGACTCCTGGGTGAAAGTAAAGCACTTTTACCAGTCAGCCAAAGGGATATCCCTGTGGCCAATTAGCCAGAATGCATAATCAGTTGAAGGTCTCTTTCCCTCTTTCTACAAGAACGTCTTTGGTCCCCATGCAGGCTGCTAACCCCATTTATAAATCCATGGACTGTTTAGAGATATTGCCCATGAATCATGCCAGCAATGCCAGAATGTGGCAAAGTAAGCCCCAGCAGAATTTGATCCCACAGTATCCCTGTTGTGATAGGACCGCTCAAAGTCATATCTAAATCACTCTATATTTAGACATCTTTTCTACAATTACAAAAAAAAACAATAATAAAGTAATAATTTATCAAATGCTACATGGTATTTAATATAGTTTTACTTCAATAAACTGATTTTTTTTTTATTACCAGTCTAGCTTTAAAATGAATGGGATGTGAAAAATATCTTAAACAGACACATACCTCTCTAGTGCCAGTAAAATAATAAATTCTCCTTCAACTCACCCTGCAGATCCCTTGTTCCTCTCTCCTTCATGCTGTGGGAATCTCATGGTGAATTTAAGAGGGACACCGTCGACTCCTGCCACCACCCTAACTCTGGCCTCATTGTTGTCCACTGGGTGAATTTGAGTAATAGATCCTGGATCCCTAGGATCTTGCTGAAGCATGACCACACAGCTGAAGTCTGCCATTACTGCAGTCAGGAATATGCTTCCATGGGACTGGAAGTACTTCTTGGCTCCAGGTTTTGCAATGGTTAATGTGTCAGCAATAAGAGAATTGGCCAACTCCTTAAGATGTGATCCAACTATCTGGACATGAAGATGAGCCCCACTGATGTTAATCTTTGCTCTTTCTGGATCAAAATTAATGGACACATTGTAGTCTTTGGCAATTTTTGACCAATTTTCTTTTTTCCTCTCAATGAACTGAGCAACAGCACATGACTCAACACAAACTTTCTCACAAACTTGTGAGTAGTCTTCAATAAACTCTTGCAAACTGAGGCTGACCTCTTTGACTGGAATGGTGAAACCTACGACTGTTACTTTATCTCTTCTCTCTTGGTCAATCCATATGATCACAGTTTTCTTATTGGAGACGTTGTAGGTGTCTAAGAGGTTTCTGCACAGGTCCATCCAATCCTGACGCTTTAAAACTTCCTGATCTCTTACATCCAAATTCTGCTCAGATAAATCTTTCTTCATCTTACTCTCAGCATCAGCCAGGGCTCTGTCAGAGCTTCCCAGTAAGAAAATCCCTGTGGGGTCAATGCCATAGATAGCACTAATGCCTTGTGAAGTAAAGAGGCTTATTGACATGTCCATGGGATCCACTGTCTGGAGGTATTCCAGAAGGCCTGGAGGAAGATTTAGATTCTTTTGTTTAAATTTCATCTTTATCTCTAAGATCCAGGACTTGGTTTTGTACACTTCTGCAGGCAGTCCTGTAATGGACAACTTCTCTGTGCCTTCATTGTATGATATCTTCAACTCAGTGGTAATGTCCAATGCAGCTTTCTGCAGACCCTGGTCGACCAGGATGTAATGATAAGCAGGAGAAATGTCCATATTCTCAGTTATACTTTTGGTCTCTTGTTCAATCTGACTCATTAACTTAAGGATGAAGTTCTCAACAGGAGCTCGGATTTTCTTCATATCATCAGCTCTGCAGGCAATTGTCACCACTTCTCTGGATGGATCAAAGTCCACCAAGGCATCTTCCTTTACAATTGAACAGACTTCTCTCTCAGCAGTTTTCCACGCTTCTGCGTTCACGTCACATTCGAAGGCTGAGTACTCAGACATGAGTTTGCAGAAGGCGGTCCGAGCCAACCCCGCCCAGTTATCTATGTCCTTAGCAGTCAGACCTTTCTGCCTCAGAAAACATGACAGAGGTCTGAGTTTCACATCTGGATGATCAAAATCTATGCTACAAAAATGTGGACGCATTTGATCATTGATGCTTTGCAGCATCTTTTTCATTTGGAGGAACTTCCAGATCTGCGACTGAACCTTCTCAGTAAAAGGCTCAGGCATATTCCACACATGCTGCCCTTTGCTATATAGAGCTGTTCCTAATTCCTCATAGTATGGATACAGCTTGACAGAGAAGAAACGTATGTCATGCTCTTCTTTTATGCAGATGCGTTTTACAACTGCAAGACATAAACAACACAGAGAGAAAGTCAAATGGGTGATTGTAGCAGGAAAAAGCACACCAGTTTCAGGTCATTGGATTAACAACACTAATAGCAGAATGAAAAATAAATTGGAACAATTAACATGCAAAACCTAATATTTTTTCTACATTGCACATCTGCATCAGCACTGTCTCGGCAAAGTTGTGCGTAAACTACAGCTGGCTCTGATGGCTTTTTTTTAGTTTAAAGTGGCAAAACGTAAATTTTATTTGTTTATTTTTCCCCAACTAAATTTTAAAAAGTAATAATTTATTGCTATCTAGAAACTTAATAACAGCAGGTGAAATGCAGTCCGGACGAGCTGAGCGTGCTGTGATTTTTACAAGTATGTTTCTGTTCCAAATAAGACAGATTTGTTCTGTCTTTGTCCATACTTCCTGTGCTCATGTCAAAAATGTACTTGTCGTGAACCTGCATTGTCAGACAATGGATAACAGTAATTGTGTTTCACAAGGTATTCAACAATAAAGCTCCATATATTAGTGTACTCCTGTGAAAAGAAAATGTATGTTTTACATTGGAATTTGTTGGTTTAATA